CTGCATGAGAAACTGACGGGCTGTCAGGAGAGAGGGAGGGAGAGGGGAAAGAGAGGATCCGTTTCTCCCGTGTTATTATTCAAAGTTAATGTAAACTTTTGAATAATGTACGTTATCTACTACAAGTAGTTTGTTTGAATGTAATAATTATGTTGTTTGTTGTTTGTGGAATAATTTATTGGAAAATGAATCTGAATTTTTCGATCTGTTACGAATATAAACTGAAGCAATATAAAAATGAGCCCATTAACTGTGTTTTAAACATCAGCATATAGCCGGTCATAGTCCGGTAATTACCTGCTAACGGAAACTCTGCTACACAACTCTTATTATTATTGAAATATGACCGGTAAGTTTCAAATTTGTCCGATAAAATAAATTCTGCCCGGACATTTGACCGGCGAGAAAAAATCCTAGCGGATACCCTGCCCCAGGCCATCTCTGAACTTCCATCCACCCGAAGTCAGCTCACCCAGAATCAGAAGGACCATTGTCTCTCTAATTGTGTGTGACTCAATTCTCCTGCTCTTTTAGGAGTCTTGAAATGAACGCACATACATTTCTCTCACAAACTAACACTTAACATCCCATAGCCTATATCAGGTGACATAAAAATGAATATACCAGAATTACACTATCAAACTTTTTGCCATAATACTTTACATCAATCTCCACAGTAGGTACACTGTAAAAAAAGATCGTAATTTTACAGGAAATAACTGTAAATTTGTATAGTAATTATCATGTTTTTTTAAATAACTTGCAAAATCCTGTAAAATGACAGATATTAACTATAAATTAACAACCCAAAACATTATTTGAAGTATTTTGACAATAACAACAAATAACGTTTATTTCCTTTTTTTTTACCGTAAATGTACTATATAATATTTACAGTATTTTTGCACTTTCAGAAAATACATGCAGATGTACGTAAAATAAAATGTTTTTATCTGTAATTAAATATGTAACTCGTAATATAAAAGTGTATTACTATTATAAGACTTTAAGATGTTCTTTGTAATTTTAAGGTAAACATAAAACTGTAAGAAAAGCGTAAAATAAAAAAAACGTAAAATGTAAGTAAAACATTTTTACATAAATCATTTTCTCAATATTCGATTGAATCCAACAAAAACACAAAATATCCAATGTTGAAACAAAAGTAAATAAATATGTTTTCATGAAATTCCTAACTTACTATATTGTAAACATCTACAGTTGACAATATCATTAAAAAAAAAAAATCATAGAAAGTGGAGAAATCTCTGCAGGGAGGACCAAGGTTTACATTACATTACATTACATTACATTACATTACATTGCATTTAGCTGACGCTTTTGTCCAAAGCGACTTACAATAAGTACATTCGACCAGGAAGACACAACCTTGAAGAAAACAGAATCATATAAGTATATCAGGTTTCATAGAGCCAAACATTTCAAGTGCTACTCAACTGGCTTTAGGTAAGCCAGTCCTTTAATTAGTATATAAGTGCTTCGTTAATCATTCTAACGCTCGAAGTGGAGTCGAAAGAGATGAGTTTTCAGTTTGCGCCGGAAGATGTGCAAGCTATCTGCCGTCCTGATGTCAATGGGGAGCTCATTCCACCATCTTGGAGCCAGGATAGCAAACCCACGTGTTTTCGCCGATGGGAACTTGGGTCCCCCTCGCAGTGAGGGCGCAACGAGTCGTTTGGCTGATGCAGAGCGTAGTGCACGCGCTGGGGTGTACGGTTTAACCATGTCCTGGATGTAGGAAGGGCCAGATCCATTCGCAGCACGGTAAGCAAGTACCAGTGTCTTGAAGTGGATTCTAGCAGTTACCGGAAGCCAGTGAAGGGAGCGGAGGAGCGGAGTGGTGTGGGAGAATTTAGGAAGGTTGAAAACCAGACGAGCCGCTGCATTCTGGATGAGCTGCAGAGGTCGGATGGCACATGCAGGTAGACCAGCCAGGAGGGAGTTGCAGTAGTCTAGGCGTGAGATGACGAGAGCCTGGACCAGAACCTGAGTCGCTTTCTGAGTCAGCTGGGGACGTATCTTCCTGATGTTGTAAAGCGTGTATCTGCAGCAGCGGGTTGTAGCAGCAATGTTTGCAGTGAAGGACAGGTTGTTATCTAGGGTCACACCCAGATTCCTTGCAGTCTGAGTCGGGGAAACAACTGAGGTGCCGATGTTGATTGTCAGGTCAAGAGTTGGACAATCTTTTCCCGGGAGGAAGAGCAGCTCAGTCTTGTCAAGGTTGAGTTTGAGGTGGTGAGCAGACATCCACTGAGAGATGTCAGCTAGACAAGCAGAGATGCGTGCGACGACCTGGGTCTCTGAGCGGGGAAAGGACAGAATTAATTGGGTGTCGTCAGCGTAGCAGTGGTAAGAAAAACCATGCGGGCTAATGACTGATCCGAGCGAGTTTGTGTACAAGGAGAAGAGGAGGGGACCAAGAACAGAGCCCTGAGGGACCCCCGTAGTTAATTGACAAGGGTCGGACTCAGACCCTCTCCAAGTCACCCTGTAGGTACGGTCTTTCAGGTATGAGGTGAGGAGGGAAAGTGCAGAGCCAGAAACTCCAAGTTTTTGGAGAGTGCGAAGGAGGATCTGATGATTCACCGTGTCGAATGCAGCAGACAGGTCCAACAGGATGATGACAGAGGAGAGGGATGCAGTTTTGGCAGTGTGCAGTTCCTCCGTGACAGCAATGAGAGCAGTTTCTGTGGAGTGACCTGCCTTGAAACCAGACTGGTGCGGATCCAGAAGGTTGTTCTGATTGAGATAACAGGAGAGTTGTTTAAAGACAGCGCGTTCAAGTGATTTAGACAGGAACGGGAGAAGAGAGACAGGCCTGTAGTTTATAACATCAGACGGGTTGAGAGTGGGTTTCTTTAGGAGTGGGTTTACTCTTGCCTCCTTGAGACTGTTTGGAAAGTGACCAGAAGTTAGAGAAGTGTTGATGAAATGGGTGAGAAACGGTAGAATATCAGGAGCGATAGTCTGAAGGAGGTTTGAAGGGATAGGGTCCAGAGGACAGGTGGTAGGGCGGGCAGAGGTAATGAGGGTAAGAACCTCACTTGGAGAGAGAGGGGAAAAGGAGGTTAGTGTGTTGGTGGAAGGAAGGTCTGGTGACCCAGCGGTGAGTAAAGGTGAGTCAGAAAAAGAAGAGCGAATATCATTAACCTTTTTTTCAAAGTGGGTAACAAAGTCGCTTGACAGAAGTGAGGAGGGGGGAGGAGCTTTTGGAGGGTCCAAGAGGGTGGAGAAGATGGAAAATAGTTTTTTAGGATTGGAATAGGAAGATTGGATCTTATCTTGAAAGAAAGTGCTTTTTGCCTGAGAGATCGAAGCAGAGAAAGAGGAGAGGAGAGCTTGATAGGTTAGGAGGTCGTCACGGTGTTTGGATTTCCACCATTTCCGCTCTGCTGCCCTAAGGACGGTTCTATTAGCACGCAGTGCATCATTTAGCCAGGGAGCCGGAGGGGACTGACGAGCCTGCCGAGATGTCAGAGGACAGAGCGAGTCCAGAGTGGATGAGAGAGTAGAGAGGAGAGTTTCTGCAGCAGAGTTTGGAGGCAGTAGTTGGAACGAATCAGAGGAAGGGAGGGCTGAGAGCACCGACGAGGCAAAGGTAGAGGGAGAGAGGGAGCGAAGGTTACGGCGGACAAGTGTAGGATGGGAAGAGATTAGTTTGTTATGTTTGGAAAGGGATAGAGAGAATGAAATGAAGAAGTGATCGGATGTGTGGAGCGGGTTTACAGAGAGGTTAGAAGTAGCGCAGTTCCTTGAGAATATGAGATCAAGGACATTGCCAGCTTTATGAGTCGGTGGGGACGGAGAGAGTGAGAAAGCAAAGGCGGTTAACAGAGATGTTAGTTCGTCTATCTTCCCCATCTGGAGGTTGAAGTCTCCGAGAAGTACAGCGGGAGGGCCAGTTTCAGGGATGTGTGAGAGGAGATGATCTAATTCCTCCAAGAAGTCCCCCAAGGCGCCTGGTGGACGGTAGAGAACAACAATGGTTAACTGTATAGGATGGGTTACTGTGACGGCATGGAACTCAAAGGTGGAAGGAGTAAAGTTAGGTAGCTTGAAGAGGGAAAAGCTCTTTAGTTTAAAACACACACTGTTATTTACTCAACAATAAGTCACAGTTATCCTTGTTTTATTTATGTGTTCTGTTGCTGTGTTTTTTTTCCATTGGTCAATTTACAGTAATAAACCTTAGTTTTACAGTATAATGTATGGTTTTCGGATTCTGGCCGACAGCCAGAGCTACGGCACTTGAAATAGAATTCAGCCAAAACACGGCAGACAAGTCAGGCATGTTTGGAATGAGTCCACAACACTCCTGATTGGTTAATATAAACATCATCGAAGAAACCTGCCAATGAGAACTGTCCGCGCCTGTCGTTCACATTTGAAACATCCAAGTCAGTTTGAGCGGGTCTCCTACTGCAGGAGCTACAGCTATCTGTGTGTCTGTTACAGGAGTTTATGGATTCATATCGGGATCGTTTTACATCTACACGTTAAATACGAGCATCGGGACGTCAACAAAGAACAGAAGACTTGAGATCTGGTGAGTCCTGCAACTGTAATGGAGTTAAACATGTATTTAGATAATCCTTACTTAGTTTGTGAATGTTTTATTTTTTATTTAAGGTTACGTTTCTTCTTCTAGTTAGCTGAGTTTCTTCCGGTTAAGTTGGTATGCATAATTAATAGGTTGTTAAATGTTAAGAAGCCCTGAGATGCTGTTTCTTGCAAGATGTTGCGCCCGGGAAACCCGGCTTAACATGCGGCTGCTAACGTTAGTTTACAGTTTATTGCAGTGCCGCCCCCCCACCCTCTCGTCTCCAACACGGGAGAATTACACATAAACATGCAGTGGGGTATCACAGTGTTGTCGCCAAGTTTAATGTAAAGTTTCACAGCTTTCTTACAGCGGAATCTAGTTTGTTAATGTTCAGTAGCCAACAGCTAGCATAGCATAAACAGCTAACCGCTAACGTTCGGCTAATTTGCTAGTTAGCTCTGCTCTATATATTACACGCTAACATGACTAGCTAATGTCACACTGTGAACTAAAATACTTTTTGTATTACTACATCATACATGCTTGGTCCAAATCACTGCTAAAATTAATTATTTTTGAGAATGTATAGTAAAGAAACACTCAGCCATGCATGAAATAACATGGCAAAAGAATACGGGTAATGTTTGACCCATGTTGTGCCTTAGAAGTGTAGTGATACAAACATGATTTGTATTCAAAAAGTAAGAAAGGGACAAATAACAATTAGAATTGGTGTTGATCCAAAACATGTTAATTGAGGAATACCTGGGATCCTGAATGGTTAAAGTAATTTATTGCAAAGATATTTACAATTAAAACTAATTCGGGTCACTTTTGACACATGTTGGCTGTATGTTGTGTAACAAAGGGTTAACATGACAGCTGTGATGTTCACTCTTTTGACAGAGCACCAGTGGACAGCGAAGACTATGGAAGAGAAGATGTGATGGTTTTGTGTGGAAAGCTGCTAACGCCAGCCTGTGTCCCTCTCATCAGTCTCTCCAGGCAGCACCCAGCTATTCTTCCATCTTGCAGATGAAAAGACTTTGATATGTGAGTAATAACTAACTTGTGTCTAACATAATATTGAATGTGGTTTAGTAAAGTATTTAAAAATACCCCACATTGTACATGTACAGGACAATCAGACCTTGTTCAACAAAGATCATCAGACAATTGTTTTGTCTTTGAGGTACAGCTGCAGCAGAGAGTCTTGAGTTTGAAGAAAACACTAACATTTTATTTAGTGTTGTTTAATCAATCAATATTTACTGGTCTTGAATTTCCTCACTGTATTACAAATGCTCGAATCTTATTGTACAGGAACATTATGCAGATTTCATCACCTGAAGATAAAAATATAGATTCAGCGATATGTACCATTTTAAGGAAATAGACTGTTAGCGGTATTTACTAAAGCTCCGCAGCTGTAGCTAGGCGCTGCTAATGAAAACTCAAGTGCTCAATTTGTTGGTTTTTCTTTTTTATTAAGAATTGACCAAGCATATCTTCCTCTTCGAAATCCCAGTTGTACTTCGCTAACACGCAGTGCCTGGGAGGGTGCGTTTGATTGTTCCCACAATAGTGCGTGCGTGCGTGCGCTTGTGCTTCAAAGGTCCATCATACAAGATGTAGGGGATCTATTGGCAGCTGCTGATAATAACATCCATCATTATGGTTTACTAATAGTTATCACTTCACTTCCTCCTCCAGCATCTGGACACAGCAGGAATCTACGCCAGGATCCTGTTTGTGGACTTCAGCTCTGCCTTCAACACAACACTCTGGCTGGAGGCTGCGCTCCATCAGGACCAACACCTCTCTCCCTCAGGACCAGAACCTCTCTCCATCAGGACCAACACCTCTCTCCATCAGGACCAACACCTCTCTCCATCAGGACCAGAACCTCTCTCCATCAGGACCAGAACCTCTCTCCATCAGGACCAGAACCTCTCTCCATCAGGACCAAAACCTCTCTCCATCAGGACCAAAACCTCTCTCCATCAGGACCAAAACCTCTCTCCATCATGACCAACACCTCTCTCTATCAGGACCAGAACCTCTCTCCATCAGGACCAACACCTCTCTCCATCAGGACCAAAACCTCTCGCCACCTCAACAAGGCCCCCCCCCCCCCCACTCCCCACTGACACTTTATCTCAGCCACAACGCAGACTCTATGCATTACATAATGGAGATCACAGGATGGTAAATAATGCAATGTTTAAATATTGCTTACTGCACATATTTTATATTCTATAATTTATTGCATTCTATTTCGATGTAAGTTACTGCTTTATTTTATTTCTATCTTACTATATTTTTATTACAGTGTTCTTAATATAGTTCGCTATCTGTGTACTTTTTAATTTTTTTTATTTGTATGTCGTGGTGCACGACACCTAGTCAAATTCCTCGTACGTGTGAACTTACCTGGCAATAAACCCGTTTCTGATTCTGATCGGTTTGTCCTCTAGGTTGCACTGCCACGTCTGCAGTAGCGCAGAATGGACAGAGGAAACATGATTGGGCCTCAAGTTTTTTGCAGCCAATATTCATTTATCCTACAGGGGCGGCTTATTGGAGTACTTCGTGACCACAAAGTGTGAACGTTGTGATCAGCTGTTTTAGCGCAGTTCTCCAGTGAAGGGGGGGGGGGAGTCTCCCTCCGCAGCCGGTTGGCGTAGTTTGGGCACAATTCTGTTGTACAGACCGACGTTAACAGCAACCCTGTCTGTGCACACGGAGACCGACTCTGTCGTCCGGTGATCTAACCGCCTTCTGGAAAAGCTTCACAAGTACGTCGGTACGCAAATGCGCTTTGTGACACAAGTGACGGTACGCATTTCAGATTACGCACATAATCTGCGTACCAGTTATGTGCACCCCTGTACTACAGCAAAAGTATTCTCCGTCGGGACTTCCTGCAACAACACCACGCCGTTATCAAAGATGTTCTATTGAGAAGACGATCACTACGTGACAAAAGTTTCAAAACCGTGGCTACTGAAATCAATCTTACTAACTGCTGTCTGTGCAATTTACTCTGCGAGTTGGCAGACTTTATTTTGCTTCCTTTAACATCATTTTTCATGGTGGGGCTAAGCCATTTCTTGGTATAGCCTACCCCAGCCATACCCTGGCGCTGCCACTGGTGGCACGTATGGGGCGGGCCATTCTGCACATGCGTTAAATATGTTAAATATTTTAACGCAATTAATTCAAAAAATGGATTACCGCCGTTAACGCGATAATTTTGACAGCACTCATTTTAAGTTTTCAGAGTAATTGTTTCCTACAGAACATTTTGTGATGTCATTTTGTTGAACCTGTTTGATTGGAAAATGTTAGAAAAAAGCTGTAAGATAACAGTATTCTAGCTGTAGAACTTTAGGCTCTGTATTTATTTTAGTGTTTGATCATACAAATCTAATAAAAAAAATGTAAACTGTTTTTCTCATCAGAACTTTATTTAAGGTATTTTAATGTAACATTTTAAGACAATGGATTTTGAAAAGAGAGGAAAGTTTCCTCTAAAATATTTAAGGACAATTTCTGTATACTAATTGCTTTTGCATTTTATTTCAGTTAATGTATTTTTACTTTAATTTAATGTTTTTTGTTTGGCAGCCGCTGCTGCCAGTCATTTGACCGTTTTTTTACGGGTTTTTTGCCCGTAGAAGTTTTAGTGCTGTACTTTTATTAAATGTTATTGACTGTAATAAGAGAGGATAAATCTGTAAAATTACAGTGTTTGCACGTTAAAATATTAGTGCTGTACTTTTATTAAATGTTATTGACTGTAAAAAGAGAGGATACATCTGTAAAATTAGAGTATTTGCCTGTAGAAGTATGAGTGATGTACTTTTATTTAAGGTTATTGACTGTAAAAAGAGAGTATAAATCTGTAAAATTACAGTGTTTTCCTGTAAAATCTTTAAGGACAATTCCCGTAAATTAATGGCTTATTCACTTTATTTCAGTTAAAGTATTTTACTTTAATTTAAGGGTTTTTGTTTGGCAGCCGCTGCTGCCAGTACTTTGACCGTTTTTTTACGAGTTTTTTTTTTACAGTGTAGGCTTTTAATGATTCCCACAGCAGAGAACAAGAGATGGGTTCATTGTCGTTTTGATTGTTTGTAATACAATTATCAATTGAAGTTGCAATAAATGTATTACATTTGTCATCTGACAACAGCAAAGTATTAAACCTCCACGGCGTTGAGTATCGTGGTTGTGGTGAAATCCAAATATCAAGAGAAAGAGGAGCGTGGTCGGAAATTACAATAGGGTGATATTTAACTGACGACACTTTGGTAATACGTTTGGCATCGATGAAGAAATAATCAATTCGAGAAAAGGATTTGTGCATATGAGAAAAGAAGGAATATTCCTTAATGCGGGGGCAGGGTTGGGTTGTAATGGAATACATGTAACGGCGTTACGTAATCAGAATACAAAAATCAAGTAACTGCATTCAGCTCGCGTTACATTTGAAAAACGAGTAATCTGATTACAGTTACTTTCGTAAACCTGAAGTGAATACATTTTGGATTACTTATTGGAATTATTGGTGGAAAGATTTCCTCACAACATTTAATATTCATTATTAAAGGTCAGGGTTGCCAACTCTCACGCATCTGGCGTGTGACACACGCTTTCACTCTCAATGTCACGCTCTCACGCTGCCCAAACTATTCTCACGCCAAAAACAAGATGAACCGGTGATCGTTTTTGGTTGGTTATTTACAATGTTGAGTTGACAGCTGCTCAAGCTGTCGACCCGCTCCCTCCGCGCCCCCGCCACTCTTAACAACTATAACAGACAGCAGAGCAGTGGGAGCCGGTTGGTCAATCCCCGACCCGTATTGCGCATGCGCAGATCTGAGATCCAGTAAAAATGATAAAAAGTAAAAGTATGCTGCTTATTGTTCTACTAGGCCAAAATAGAGTCAAAGAGTATATGAGAGTGAGAGTGTGTTAATTAATATATTTGGCAGTTTGGAGTAAGTCTGTAGATTTGTTTGTGTCTGTGTGTTTCATGCCTCTAACGATAATTAATTTTGTTGGATACATTTTCCGGGTAAACGATAATATTGTCGGCACCGTTGTATCATTTTAGACCACTGACATAATGATAATATACAATAATAATTAAAGTACATCCTTTCAAACTGCTAATCACATCCTCATGTAAATGAAAACATTTATCAAGTTCATTTTTATTTATCGTACGATAAGTCAATGAATTGCTTATCGCGACAGGCACACAATAAAACAGTGGAAACAAACAGGTGTTTGACTTTCATTAGTGAATGAAACTTTGCGCCCTTTATAGTCTGTGTCCAATATTGTGTATTTGTATATATTGTATATATATCATGCTAAGGTCCCGCTACTGACACGATAGCAGTCATTTAGTGCGCATATGTGTAATTAAACCCATGATATCAAAATCTCACTCCAGCCAGGTACCCAAAGTTGGCAACCCTGTTAAAGGTACAGCCGAATCATCACAGCGCACAACAACTTTTACCGCCGCAGATGGACCAAAAAAGGGAGCGTTTGAAAAAAAAGGGGCGGGTCCGCTCAGTGGAACAATAACGAAACGTGGAGGAAGAAAAGTCTGCGTTTAAGTCGTGTGTGTGTAGAGGTGTGTGTGGTTATAACACATCAGCCTGTGGTCGCTCTTTAGCCTTATGATTCTGAAGGTAAACACAGCGAAGGCGGTGCGTGAAAGGCACTGCACGCTCCTCTTCTCAGAGGCTGAGTTAACCCTCCCGCTGCCGCAGAGATGTCATGAAGTGAAGGAGGTTTTCCTTCTATAAAACAGCTGTGGGCAGCAGATGTACTGTGAGAGTCACAGACATGAATACATAGATCAAGGCAGACTGGTGCACACACTCTCCTGTTTTGCCGATCCGGTGCTTAAACAAATATAGCGGCCGGCTCTAGACAATTTGCAGCCCTAGGCGAGATTTTAGCTGGTGCCCCCCCCCCCCATAGAATATATAAAGAATAAATTAAAAATCTCTACAAAAGACGAATACACTACAAAAACAGAAACTTATTGACATAGGCAAAAAGGCTTCAAATGTATTCAGTATTGTATGAACATGTTTGAATTGGGGGATGGACGTCACATCCTCTAGGGGGGTCCGGGGGTAAAATGCTTCAATCTGGTGCACTTTGAGCACACAATTACTACTAGATCTAGGGGGTACAACTCTAAAACACCCATATGAAAAAGATCAGTTAACATTTTAATAATCAAATGAGTATGTGAACATAACCAATAACCTACCATAGCCAATAAATGTAACTTATTTTATTTTTGTTGTTCATTCATATCTTTTTTGACCTAGTTAACATTCATTTATGTATTCATATTTGTATCTCTCCAGTTTTTAAATGATATTTTTGGTTTACTGTCCTATAGTATACATTGAAAACACTAACCCCCCCACAAATACAAAAACCACACTTGCTTTAGTTATAATTCAACAAACATCTTTTAATAAACAAGTAGCTTCCACAGAAGGAGTTATAGAACTATTTGAAAGAACACACGTATTGTAATAATAAATAAAATAAATGAAAAAATATTAACAAATACATAAAAACGATTTATACAAAAAAAGAACAATTACATTTCTGTTTTTGAACACACATATTGTAATAATAAATAAATACCTTACTGACTTGTTTGACTTAAACACTCAGAATTGCACTCGTCTTGACTTCTTTGCTGCAAAGTCATCGATAACGTCCTCATATGACAGCTGACGAGAAACATCACTGTTAATGCTGATGATGGCAAGTCCACTGAGGCGTTCTTGGACCATTGTAGACCTCAGGTAGGTTTTAATTAACTTCAGCTTTGAGAAGCTTCTTTCTGCTGAAGCCACTGTCACTGGCATAGTGACTGTGATCCTGAGGGCCACCCACATATTAGGATAAACCTCCCTCAGGTTCTTCCTTTCCAAGAACACCAACAGTTCCAGGGTGGTCATTGTGGGTGCGGGGAGAGTTGGAAAGTTCATCAGCTCCAGTGCCAACTCTTTTCCATCTATGTCTGACTGTCCGCCAGAGCTCAGGGTGTTGCTCAGTGTTTGACACTGCTTTGTCAGCTCGTTTCTGGGCAGTTCGGGGAAGTTGACAAGCACCCCAAACTTTGCCTGAACTTCTTCCAGGTGTTCAAAACGCTCATTGAGGGAAGTGATGCAAACATCAACCACCCTGTTGAAAAATGTAACTTCCATCTTTTTTAGGGCATTTGCCATTGGCTCATCAGGTGCTTCATAAGAGAACTGCCTCTTGGTTGACCTCAGCCTCTTCTCCTTGACAGCATCCACATCCATGTTCTCACATGTCTTTAGCACTGATCTGAGCAGAGGCAAATCCAGTGGCTCTGTAGTCTTCCAGGGTGGCCTTTGTCTTTCTCAGGAGGTCAACTGCGATGTCAAGTTGCATTGACTGTTTGACTTTACTGATGATGTCGTACCACACCACAGTGCAAATGGAGAAGCGGTAGGACCCCACTTCCTCAGCCAAAGACTGTGCCTCTATTTTGATCATCATGTCAGTGGCCTTGTCCCTCACCTCCAAAAGTGCATCTCGAACATGTTGAGCCTGATATCGCACAGCTTCCACACTGTTGACGGAGAGGCTCCACCTGTTGCTGCATGCGATCTGCAATTTACGGAGGCCTGCTTGTCGCGAAGAGACGGAGCGGCTCCACCTGTTGCTGCCTGCGATCTGGGATCTGCGATCTACGGAGGCCTGCTCCCACCTGTAGAGTTCGGCTGTACTGGAGAGGTTTTTACCCCGGAGACGTCGCGGAGAGACGGAGCAGCTCTACCTGTTGCTGCCTGCGATCTGCGATCTACGGAGGCCTGCTCGTCGCGAAGAGACGGAGCGGCTCCACCTGTTTGCTGCCTGCGATCTGCGATCTACGGGGGCCTGCTCCCACCTGCACGGCTGCACTGGAGAGGTTTTTACCCCGGAGTCGTCGCGAAGAGACAGAGTGGATCCACGCTTGGCCTGCTTCCACCGGGCGTGTGCTGCTGTACGGAGGAGGATTTTACCACGGCTGGGGCCTGCTTTCCACCTGTCCTGGTTCTGCTGTCGCAGAGGCCTGCTTTCACCCCAGGGATACCACGCTGCTGCTTTCGCCTGTCCTTTGCTGCTGTGCTGATTTTGCTCCAGGAACATCGCGGTTCCCTGGTCTGGGAAAATGGCCCATATTGGGATTCTGCTGTGCCTGTTAACTATTTTGGACTATGAGAAGATCTCTAGTCATTCTGAGGAGTCTACTGGATTCAGGTCTGTTCTGTCACCCGCAGTGGGCATCCCCTGCAAAGGTTCGGATGTGTTATACAAACAATTACCGGTTGCCTTGTCACAGTCAATCTGCTCAACAAAATATGTTTGACTTTTTTGTTTTCCTGCAATGATGGTTCTTCAGGACTGCTTCTTAAGCTCAAATCACACTCTCGCAGACTTTTCCGGTGATTCTAAAGTAGATGACAATGTATGTGTGTCGCTTAAGAGGAAAAGATGCCTGGTTTTGTTGTTGTTATTACTGTCAGGAAATGTACAACCTAACCCTGGTCCGCCCAGTAGTAGTAGTCAGATACTGTTAGAGATTAAAAGGGATATCTGGTCCGCTTTTCAAATCTCCGCGCGTCCCTATCAAGCTGGTTATAATACAGGAAGAAATCCAGAGCTACCAAGTAAACAATAATCTACTTTAATGGTAATATGACAAATGCAATACAATCAATAGAGTACAAATTCAATACAGTTAATCTTTGGGATCCCGAATTTACCTGCACGTGAGCCAGCCAGAGGAAAGAGGCTGAACACCGCGTGTGTGTCTGTGTTTATACTCTTTGACAATGGGAGGAGTTATCAGATCCTCCCATTTGGACCTCCTTGATTGGCAGCCCCAAATATCCCTAACACCTTAGACCTTAGGTTTCCCCAATCACTGTAGCTAGATCTAAGTTGAATGCAACTCAAGACATGCTCTCACCTTCCCCCATCTTCCTTTGTCCTCAAAAACACATGTCAACAGGCCCCAAATCCAGCTCACAGTTTTACCCAAATTATTCCCATTTTAAGCTTATCCATAGTTTGCTAACATGAATAAATACAAATATTTCACTACAAATCCCCCTTTTTATCTCCTTCTCCAGAGATAAACTTAGACAAGGCATTTTGAAATATACCCACTGTCATTCTTTTCTACTGTGTCCGTCCCCCAAACATTGTATAAATCCATCCGAAGCAGGTATTTAGAGTACTTGAAAACTTCATGGAGACAGAACACCACTTTCCATGGCAGTGAAGGAACCATGAGGGGGCAGCTGAGTGCTAGAATCATCAGCCCCCCCCCCCCCGTCGGAGGAATAGCCCACAAGGACAGCTAATAGGGAGGGGGAGATGCGGCTTTCCCTTCACGGGTGGAACTGATCAGAGAGAAGTAGACTCCTCTGCTGCCTCGACAAGTCCCCTGTGCCGTCCTGGCTTGCCGTGTCTTTGTCCCCCCGATCCGCTCACAGCAGCTTCTGGGCTGCCTGCTAGAGAGATGTCTTCCTCCTCCTCCTCCTCCGGCCCGCTGATGGCGGCTTCCGGGTCAATGCTGTAGAGATGTCTTCCCGATCCTCCTTCTCCTGCCCGCTGATGATGCCTCCCGGGTCGTCTGCTGTAAGGATGTCTCCAGGGCCCTGCTCCTCCAGTCCACTGCTTCCGAGTAGTCCACGTCTGCCAGGGCCACGTCCGTCCTGATGTCGTCCCGTGCTCCTAGCAGGTGGTTTCCCCGCCGCACACTGGCTCCCGTGGTACGAGTTGTCCCCCTTTTCTCCCAGGCAGACGGCATAAGAGGTCCGCTGGGTCACTCGGTCGGGGCCGGAGAGCCTGGGGTTGAGCCACTTTGTCCTGATGACCTTCAGCCAGACGAACTCTGCTGTGTCGGCCTCGTGCTTCTCGGGTCCCCCTTTTGGCGCCAGCAACCTGTGTGGAGAAATCTGATACAACTCCCTCAAGCCTACGCTCAGCTGTTTTGACCCACTTGGAGCCTGTTGGTGGGGTGTCTTGAAACAACAGCCGTCTGTGAACAGGTTTTCTAAATTAATTGTAGACCTCCTATCTGCCAGTGCAGCTTCAGAATCTTAATACTTGGATTGTGCCAACTAAATAAGAACCTCAACATCTTTAGGTAAACTAAATAACATATTTCAATAGCTCTGAATTTCTGACAAGCATCCGTGTTTATTTTTAAATGAAATCCTATTTAAAATCCAAATATAATATGAACTGCTAATGTTTCTGGTAAAGAAACACACTAATGTTATGGATTCAAAAACAACCAAAATCATGATACTAACCAAGTGAATGATTTCCTGGTGATACTGCTTCTACCTGTCAGTGCTTAGATATTATCAAGCTGAAAAAATGAATACAGAATTCCAACAAACTGTCATCAAATGTCTTTCTATTATAAATGTAGATGAAATGTATATCCCCATAATGACCTAAACAATAAAGTCTATGGCTTTTACTTCTTTACCAGGCTAGTTACATGATGTCTAAATTAAATTCTGTCTCAATACACTACTATGTTTTAGCTTTAACTGTAATATGTTCTTTCTACATTTCAAACCTCAGTTACTCTAATGTCTGTTAAACTATTACAAAATTGTTTCATTATCACAGGTCAACTTCTTCGGTATTCTATTCTGGAATTACATCTCTCACAGTAGCCCCTTGGCCACTGCTTCTGTGTTACCTGTTATAACTCAAATCAATATTTAGAAACATCTCAACATTCATCAAACAGTATCTTATCCCCAGATATGGAGCAGGTTAATTACATTCAATGCTCAGTTTGAACATCTGGGTTGGGGCGGAAGGTTTCTGTCAATCCTTAAAAGAAAAATTTAAATTGTGAATTTTACAGCCATGTTGACATTTATACATTATACACACTCCCCCCTTTTACACATGAAATCATGTGTAACAAAACCCTGTAATGGGAGGGGAACAAAAACTATCAGGTAATTGGTTAGGGACATAACGAACATTATTTACAATTTGACATCCATCATCATTATTTCCACAGTAAACACTTCAGTGAAAAGAAGTGTTCCTCTCCGTCCTTCAGGCCTAAAATAAACAGAATCTTCAGATTTTAGTTTTACATTTGCAAACCACCAACTCATGTGAGAGTAAAATATAACCGGGTCACATGTGCGGTTTCCCCTTTTGTGGAATTTTTAGGAAAGCTCTCGTTTCCCTTGGAGCACCAAAATAATATGTTAGTCCAAAAACATGCTTGGTTGGTTATTGTTTTAGAATCATGCAGTTACACTGATCACATGCCGGCGTTCATTCACACTCACACTGTCTGGTTGTCATGTCAAGTTTGGTCAGCTTCACCCCAGAGTCAGTCATCCACAGTGCCTTGTCAAGTTACACTGTCGGTCAGGGTCAAAGGTCAGTTGGTCTCCGTCTTTTTTGGCCATGTGTCGTGCTCTGCAGAGACTTTGACATTTCAGCATAGGCCAGTATCCTTTGTCTACAAAAATATGTCACGATTTCAACTATGATTTTCAAGATGATTCTCACTTGTCATTGGGACTTCTGCCTCCCACTTTTCCTGAAACTTGGTACAAAACTCACTTCCTTCGAGTACTACTACTACTGCAATCCATTTACACCTAATTAGTATTAAAATGTCTAATGATCTATTTCAGAAACTTGTGTACATAACTATTATCTTGAGTCAAAACATTACTAGGATCTGTGTCGCTCTGCATTTCATAGCTCATTATACTCATTTATCTTTAATTCTGGTCTACTTAAAAAACAATGTTAAACTCTTTAGCAGTGTGTGGAACCTTGGGTGTCCGAACATGCAACAATTACTCCCTCCTTTATCAAGGATTTAAAACCTTAGTCGTTTTATATTTCCATCTTAAAGCCCTCCTATGGTAATAACCATGCTACAATGGTGAAATCAACACTTTAGATTGGAATTTTATATGTGGCTTGGCACCAGCTCTCCCTTTAACATTATTAATACAAATAAAGATTTGTCTTATAGAGTGGTTCCTAAAACTATCCTTTTAATGGTGATCAATATTGTAACCAATGAGATCGCTACTTTATTCACACGTGAATAAAAATCTCTTAAAGAATGATTTGTTAACATGATGAAAATATTGAAGAATATGGTTCTACTCTGTCAGTGTGTTTTAGGATGATTATCATTTTACTTTAATAGTTTCCTCTTTACTGCTATTTTTAATTTACCAATTGATTAATAAATCTTTCTGTCTTTACGTATTTATGAAGTTAATTCAAGTTATTTAAATGTGCGTTTTGTGAATAAGTGTGTTTATGTGTAAACTCACTCATTCCCGTTCTCCTTTTCTCCTCCCCTGGTTTTCTCAAGCCGTGACCCCGGCCTCCTCACTTCTAATCGACCATGCCAACTCCTCTGATTCTGTCTTCTCTTCAGTCCATCAGCTGTTGAATCCATCAGCTGTAACTTTTTTAGGCAGCCATTGGCCCAGTTACATCTGCAGCCCCATCATGCCACTGTTGTTGCACTCCTCCTTTACAGTCTCTCTGCTGTTTTTATGGAGGGCGGATTCTGCTCTCATGTCC